GGAAATTCAATTAGTGATGCCTGGGGGAGCAGCAGCAGGGTGACTAGGAGCAGGGGGAGCAGCAGGAGCAGGGGCAGCAGGAGCAGAGTAATAACAATTCATACCTTCTAGACTAGTTCCCATGATCACCTGAAATGCAATTCATGACTCTGGCCATGGCGATAGTTTTTCATTTTGTACCTGAGCAGGGGGAGTAGGAGCAGGGGAAGCAGGAGGAGCAGCAGCAGAGTAATAACAATTCATACCTTCTAGATTGCTTTGATCACCTAACATGGAATTAATGACTCCAGGAGAAGCAGCAGCAGGGTGAGCAGCAGCAGAGTAATAACAATTCATACCTTCTAGACTAGTTCCCATGTTCACCTGAAATGCATTTGGTGACTCCTGGGGCATGCAGATTGTTTTCATTTTGTGCAGAAGCAGACCTGAAGCAGGAGGAGCAGCAGCAGGGAGAGCAGGAGCAGGGGGAGCAGCAGCAGGGGGAGCTGCAGGAAGGGGAGTAGCAGCAGGGGGAGCAGCAGCAGGGGGAGCTGCAGCAAAGGGAGCAGGAGCAGGGGGAGCAACAACAGGGGAAGCAGGAGCAGGGGGAGCAGCAGCAGAGGGAGCTGCAGGAAGGGGAGTAGCAGCAGGGGGAACAGCAGCAGGGGGAGTTGCAGCAAAGGGAGCAGGAGCAGGGGAGCAGGAGCAGGGGGAGCTGCAGCAAAGGAGCAGCAGCAGGGGGAGCAGGAGCAGAGTAATAACAATTCATACCTTCTAGACTAGTTTCCTATGATCACCTGAAATGCAATTTGGTGATTCCTGGGGCATGGAGGTTGCTTTTCATTTTGTGGAGGAGGAACAGCAGCAGGGGAGTTGCAGCAGGGGGGAGCAGCAGCAGAGTAGTAATGTTATAGGGCAACCCATACCTTATGTTACCTTTGATCACCTGAAAAGCAATTCCTGACTCAGGGGTTATGGAGATTGCTTTTCATTTTGTCTACTAGCTGGGGGAGCAGCAACAAGGGGAGCAGCAACAGCAGGGGGTGCAGGAGCAGAATAATAACAATTTATACCTTCTAGACTAGTTCCCATGATCACCTGAAATGCAATTCGTGACTCCTGGGGCATGGAGATAGCTCTTCAATTGTGCCCCAGCAGGGGGAGTAGGAAAAGGGGGAGCAGCAGCAGAGTAATGACAATTCATACCTTCTAGATTGCTTTGATCACCTGAAATGCAATTAGTGGCTCCTAGAGGAGCAGCAGCAGGGGGAGCAGAAGCAAGGAGAGCAGCAGCAGAGTAATAACAATTCATACCTTCTAGACTAGTTTCCATGATCACCTGAAATGCAGTGGGACTCTTGGGGTATAGACACTGCTTTTGATTTTGTGCAGGGGGAGTAAGAGTGGGGGGAGCATGAGGAACAACAGCAAGGGGAGCAGGAGCATGGGGAGCTGCAGCAATAGGAGCAGCAGCAGAGTAATAACAATTCATACCTTCTACACTAGTTCCCATGATCACCTGAAATGTAATTCATGACTCCTGGCCCATGACAATAGTTTTTCATTTGTACCTGAGCAGGGGGAGTAGGAGCAAGGGAAGCAGGAGCAGCAGCAGCAGGGGGGAGGAGCAACAGAGTAATAACAATTCATACCTTCTAGTTTGCTTTGATCACCTGACATGAAATTAGTGACTCCTGGGGAGCAGCAGCAGGGGGAGCAGCAGCAGGTGGAGCAGGAGCAGAGTAATAATTCATATCTTCTAGACTAGTTCCCATGTTCACCTGAAATGCAATTTGGTGACTCCTGGGGCATGGAGATTGCTTTTCATTTTGTGCAGGAGCAGACCTGAAGCAGGAGGAGTTGCAGCAGGGGTAGTAGCAGCAGGGAAAGCAGAAGCAGGGGGAGCAGCAGCAGGGGGAGTGGGAGCAGGGAGAGGAGCAGCAGCAGGGGGAGCAGGAGCAGAGTATTAACAATTCATACCTTCTAGTTTTGCTTTTATCACCTGAAATGCAATTAGCTCCTGCTCTCCTTGCTGCTGCTCCCCCATCTCCTGCACAAAATGAAAAGCAATCTCCATAGCCCTGGAGTCAAGAATTGCATTTACTATAAGGTATGAATTAGTGTTACTCTGCTCCTGCTCCCCCTCTTCCTGCTCTCCCTGCACAAAATGAGAAGCAATCTTGATACCACAGTCACTATTTGCAAGTTAGAAGAGCTTGTTTCTCATTTTGTAATGGAGCAGGGGAGCAGCAGCAGAGAAATAACAGTTCATACCTTCTAACTTGCTTTGATCACCTGAAATTCAATTAGTGACTCCTGGGGGAGCAGCAGCAGGGTGACCTGGAGCAGGGGGAGGAGCAGGGGCAGTAGGAGCACAGTAATAATTCATACCTTCTAGACTAGTTCCCATGATCACCTGAAATGCAATTCATGACTCTGGCCATGGCGATAGTTTTTCATTTTGTACCTGAGCAGGGGGAGTAGGAGCAGGGGAAGCAGGAGGAGCAGCAGCAGAGTAATAACAATTCATACCTTCTAGATTGCTTTGATCACCTGACATGGAATTAGTGACTCCAGGGGGAGCAGCAGCAGAGTATTAACAATTCATACCTTCTAGACTAGTTCCCATGTTCACCTAAAATGCAATTTGGTGACTCCCAGGGCATGCAGATTGTTTTCATTTTGTGCAGGAGCAGACTTGAAGTAGGAGGAGCAGCAGCTGGGGGAGCAGCAGCAGGGGGAGCAGCAGCAGGGGGAGCTGCAGCAGGGGAAGCAGCAGCAGGGGGAGCAGCAACAAAGGGAGCAGCAGCAGGGGGAGCAGCAGCAGAGTAATAACAATTCATACCTTCTGGTTTGCTTTTATCACCTGAAATACAATTAGCTCCTGCTCTCCTTGCTGCTGCTCCCCCATCTCCTGCACAAAATGAAAAGCAATCTCCATAGCCCTGGAGTCAAGAATTGCATTTCAGGTGATCCAAGCAAACTATAAGGTATGAATTAGTGTTACTCTGCTCCTGCTCCCCCTCTTTCTGCACTCCCTGCACAAAATGAGAAGCAATCTTGATACCATAGTCACTATTTGCAAGTTAGAAGAGCTTGTTTCTCCTTTTGTAATGAGGCAGGGGGAGCAGTAGCAGAGAAATAACAGTTCATACCTTCTAACTTGCTTTGATCACCTGAAATTCAATTAGTGACTCCTGGGGGAGCAGCAGCAGGGTGACCTGGAGCAGGGGGAGCAGCAGGGGCAGTAGGAGCACAGTAATAATTCTTACCTTCTAGACTAGTTCCCATGATCACCTGAAATGCAATTCATGACTCTGGCCATGGCGATAGTTTTTCATTTTGTACCTGAGCAGGGGGAGTAGAAGCAGGGGAAGCAGGAGGAGCAGCAGCAGAGTAATAACAATTCATACCTTCTAGATTGCTTTGATCACCTGACATGGAATTAGTGACTCCAGGGGGAGCAGTAGCAGGGGGAGTGGCAGCAGAGTAATAACAATTCATACCTTCTAGACTAGTTCCCATGTTCAATGAAATGCAATTTGGTGACTCCGGGGGCATGCAGACTGTTTTCATTTTGTGCAGGAGAAAACCTGAAGCAGGAGGAGCAGCAGCAGGGGGAGCAGCAACAGAGTAATAACAATTCATACCTTCTGGTTTGCTTTTATCACCTGAAATGCAATTAGCTCCTGCTCCCCTTGCTGCTGCTCCCCCATGTCCTGCAAACCCAGCTTCTGCACAAAATGAGAGGCAATCTCCATAGCCCTGGAGTCAAGAATTGCATTTCAGGTGATCCAAGCAACTATAAGGTATGAATTAGTGTTACTCTGCTCCTGCTCCCCCTTTTCCTGCTCTCCCTGCACAAAATGAGAAGCAATCTTGATACCACAGTCACTATTTGCAAGTTAGAAGAGCTTGTTTCTCATTTTGTAATGGAGCAGGGGAGCAGCAGCAGAGTAATAACAATTCATACCTTCTAGACTAGTTCCCATGATCACCTGAAATGCAATTTGGTGACTCCCGGGGCATGCAGATTGTTTTCATTTTGTGCAGCAGCAGCAGACCTGAAGCAGGAGGAGCAGCAGCAGGGTGAGCAGCAGCAGGGCCGAGTAGCTGCAGGGAGAGCAGCAGCATGGGAGCAGAAACTGGGGGAGCAGCAGCAAAGGGAGCAGGAGCAGGGGCAGCAGCACTGGGAGCTGCAGCAAAGGGAACAGCAGCAGGTGGAGCAGGAGCAGTAATAACAATTCATACCTTCTAGACTAGATCCCATGATCACCTGAAATGTGATTTTTATTTTGTGCAGGAGCAGACCTGAAGCAGGAGCAGCAGCAGCAGGGGGAGCAGCACTAAGGGGAGCAGGAGCAAGGAGAGCAGCAGCAGGGGGAGCAGGAGCAGAGTAATAACAATTCATGCCTTCTAGTTTGCTTTTATCACCTGTAATGCAATTAGCTGCTGCTCCCCCATGTCCTGCAAACCCAGCTTCTGCACAAAATGAGAGGCAATCTCCATAGCCCTGAAGTCAAGAATTGCATTTCAGGTGATCCAAGCAAACTACGAGGTATGAATTATTGTTACTCTGCTCCTGCTCCCCCTCTTCCTGCTCTCCCTGCACAAAATGAGAAGCAATCTTGATACCACAGTCACTATTTGCAAGTTAGAAGAGATTCTCATTTTGTAATGCAGCAGGGGGAGCAGTAGCAGAGTAATAAAATTTGTCCCTTCTAGACTAGTTCCCATGATCACCTGCAATGCAATTTTGACTCCTGGGGTAAGAGATTGCTTTTCATTTTGTGCAAAAGCAGGGGGAGTAGGAGCAGTGGGAGCTTGAGGAGCAGCAGCAGGGGGAGCAGGAGCAGAGTATTAACAATTCATACCTTCTAGACTGCTTTGAGCCTGAAATGATTTAGTGGCTCCTGGGGGAGCAGCAGCAGGGCAAGCAGGAACAAGGGGAGCAGCTGCAGAGGGAGCAGGAGCAGAGTAGTAACAATTCATACCTTCTGGCTTGCTTTGATCACCTGAAATGCAATTAGTATCTCCTGGGGGAGCAGCAGTAGGACTAGGAGCAGGGGGAGCAGTAGCAGGGGGAGCAGCAACAGAGTAATAACAATTCATACCTTCTAGTTTGCTTTTATCACCTGTAATGCAATTAGCTGCTGCTCCCCCATCTCCTGCAAACCCAGCTCCTGCACAAAATGAGAAGCAATCTCCATAGCCCTGGAGTCAAGAATTGCATTCAGGTGATCAAAGCAAACTAGAAGATATGATTTGTTATTACTCTGCTGCTGCTCCCCCTGCTTCTGCCCTCCTCCCCTCTGCTCCTGTGGAAAGTGAGAAGCAATCTTGATACCCCAGGAGTCACTATTTGTAAGCTAGAAGAGCTTGTTTCTCATTTCATGGGGGAGCATGAGCAGGGAGAGCAGGAGCAGAGTACGAACAATTAATACCTTCTAGCTTGCTTGGATCACCTGAAATGCAATTCCTGACTCCAGGGCTATGGAGATTGCTTTTCATTTTGCGTAGGAGCAGTGGCCGGATAATATGCAACTAGATATTGAAGTTTGTTCAGGCTTTTGTCACCTGCAGCGCAGTCACCCTGCTCCTGCTACCAACTGGGCATTACATGTATTCTGGAATGTGGGGCTCTGCCTCTTTCTGTGGGAAGTTCCTTGTTCAGATAACAGGATCCTGTGGGAGTATATTGTATATGACTACACGACTCAAAACTTTCTGGAAAATAGTGGAAATCCCTCGAAGACGTGGCAAGGGTTACACGTTCTGTACAGAGTCTTGAGCAGCAGGACCTCAGCTGGCAGCAGGTGATCAGGCTGGGCCCACCGTGCAGCAGGCAGCTGGGGTGGGCAGGAGAGATCCTGGTTAACCTAGTCCAGGGGGGACCTCCTGCAGCACACCCCCCTTTCCCTAGTGATGAAGCCTTTGGGTCTGGAGGGGGTAGATGGAAGCTGGTGGTGAGAGGTGAGTGGGTGTGGCTGGCTGTAGAGGCTTCAAGCTCAGGCTGGGGGGACTTTGTGTGCCCCTGGCTTGGTTCTGTTCCTGCCCTGTTTTGTGGCTGTTCAGCCACTTTTCATTTCAGAGGCTGTCCTGAAACCGGCCCCTCTGGGGACACTGGCTTCCACTCAGCTGTCTCCCCCAGGAACCTAGTGGCAAGGAATTCCAGTCCCCCAGTTCCTCAGTGTGGACTTGTGCCCAGGAAGGACTTGTCCATATCCTAACAGCTGTGTCCAGCTACACTCGGTGTCGTACTTGGGAGGTTTCCTTTTCTAAAACATAGAGACTTGGGGCCTCCCTGGTGGCACAAGGGGTCAAGACACAACCTATGAAGCAGCCACTGCGGCACGAGTTCGATCCCCGGGTAGGGAGCAACCCACATGGCTCAGTAGACCTCTCCTGTCTCCCCGCTGCTCCCCTCAGCAGTGTGTTTCAGTCAGTCTGCCTGTTCTGCTCCCTGCTCTGTCTCTGGTGAATCCTCTCACCCTCCCACGCATCTGGCTTGTACCCCAGCTCTTGTATAAATAAAAAAAAATTAACTGCCTCTAGTGGATAACGGGGAGAAACAGCAACATCCACAGGGCAAGACACATGCTCAGAAGAGACGGGAGAAGATCTTACTCCTTCATTTCTGATGCTCAACTTCTTACCATAAAATGTCTTTTCCTTGAGTGGTGGTTCTCTTGGTTGCTGCAGGTCTTCGATATGTCCCTGAGGGTACTGGTGCTTCTTATTAATCAGCCACCTTGTTGGTGTCACTCGCTCTCCATAATCCCTGTTCTCTTTGTCTTTTCAGGAGGTCGGCATCAAGATGAGATGGAGACTCTTCAGGAAGTGGGAATAGAGCACCTTCCCGTGGGAGAGCTTCCATGCTGGAAAATCAGGAGACATGATGTCAACAGATCAACCGGAAATCAAAACTTCATGATAAATAATCCAGGAAAGAGGTCTCCGTTCCCTAGACGCAACTCCTCCTATCAGGTGGGAGGAAGAGGATCTATTGTGGTTTCTGTGGATGACAGCTGCTTAGTGAACCTTATAGAAGATCATTCCAATATAATTGAAAATCGAGACTTTCTAACTAGGAAAGCTCAGAATTCTTTGGGTAATATGTATTTGAATGAGACACAGAATTACCAGAGAAGCTGTCAGCAGACTCAGATGAGAAACAGCTTATGTTTCTTTGCTCCATGTGTTGACATTTTCAGTCATGTTTCACAACACCATGGTGATGACCCTGTGCATGAAGGAGAGAAAGCGCCTGACAGTGACTGTGGTAAAGACAACTTAAAGGCATCACCTTTGGCCCAGCCAGGTACAGTTTGCACAGGCCAGAAAACTCACCCGTGTGGAGAATGTGAGAAAGCCTTCAGCAATGTTTCCGGTCTTGAACTTCAGCAGGTCCACGTGGGAAAGAAGTCCCTGACATACAGGACCCAGGAGAAGGACACAAGTTACAGCTCTGCCGATGCCAGTGTCCACACAGGGAAGAAGCGCTATTGGTGTCATGAGTGCGGGAAGGGCTTTAGTCAGAGCTCCAACCTGCAGACTCACCAGAGAGTCCACACAGGGGAGAAGCCTTATTCATGCCTTGAGTGTGGTAAGAGCTTTAATCAGACCTCACATCTCTATGCTCATCTGCCTATTCACACAGGAGAGAAGCCTTATAGATGTGACAGTTGTGGAAAAGGCTTCAGTCGCAGCACAGACCTGAATATTCATTGCCGAGTTCACACCGGAGAGAAACCTTATAAATGTGAGGTATGTGGGAAAGGCTTCACTCAGAGATCACATCTTCAGGCCCATGAAAGAATCCACACTGGAGAGAAGCCATATAAATGTGGAGATTGTGGCAAACGCTTTAGTTGTAGCTCAAATCTTCACACCCACCAGAGAGTCCACACCGAAGAAAAACCATACAAATGTGATGAGTGTGGTAAGTGCTTTAGTTTGAGCTTTAACCTTCACAGTCACCAGAGAGTCCACACAGGAGAGAAACCATATAAATGTGAAGAGTGTGGCAAGGGTTTTAGTTCAGCCTCAAGTTTCCAGAGCCATCAGAGGGTTCACACAGGAGAGAAACCATTTCGATGTAATGTGTGTGGGAAGGGCTTCAGTCAGAGCTCATATTTTCAAGCCCACCAGCGAGTCCACACTGGAGAAAAACCATATAAATGTGAGGTGTGTGGGAAGCGCTTCAATTGGAGCTTGAATCTTCACAACCATCAGAGAGTCCACACAGGAGAGAAACCTTATAAATGTGAGGAGTGTGGTAAAGGTTTTAGTCAGGCCTCAAATCTACAAGCTCATCAGAGTGTCCACACTGGAGAAAAACCATTCAAATGTGATGCGTGTCAGAAACGATTCAGTCAGGCTTCACATCTTCAAGCCCATCAGAGAGTCCACACCGGAGAGAAGCCATTTAAATGTGATACTTGTGGTAAGGCCTTCAGCCAGAGGTCAAATCTGCAGGTCCATCAGATTATCCACACTGGAGAGAAACCATTTAAATGTGAGGAGTGTGGCAAAGAATTCAGCTGGAGTGCTGGGCTCAGTGCTCATCAGCGTGTTCACACAGGAGAGAAGCCCTATACTTGTCAGCAGTGTGGTAAGGGCTTCAGTCAGGCCTCACATTTTCACACACATCAGAGGGTCCACACTGGAGAGAGACCATATGTATGTGATGTCTGTTGTAAGGGCTTTAGTCAGAGATCACATCTTGTATACCATCAGAGAGTCCACACCGCCGGAAACCTGTAGAAATGAGGGCTGCAGTATAGCTTTCAGTCAGAGTAAACATCTGCATCTCCACTGGAAAGTTCCCTCATGACTCAAAAGCTTCAAGAAACCTTCATGGGAAAGCAGCCCTCTCACAGTGCTGTTTAAGCGATTCTGTTAGGAAATGAATTATTTACAAAATCAGATCACAGATATAACTGATATCTTCTATAAACGTGTTCAGTGTTTACACTAGAGTTGCAGATGTCCCCATTCTCAAGATGTGACACAACAGGAGACTCTCCAAAATCTACCACATCTACCTAGGAGACAGGCCTTATAAATGAGGATTAAGATTATGGTTAGAACTTTTAAAAGCATGAGGATAAAAATCAGTCAACTCCAATGTAAGCTCCATGTGGGGAGGGTGTGCCCACCACTGTATCTACTGTGTAGAGCTCTGCTTGGCTCACAGCAGGTGCCCATCAATGACTGAATGGGGAAAATTTCCACAATTAGGATAAATATTTCAGTATCCTAGCCAGTTCCCCACCCTAAATTCATCGTAACTTAGACTCAAATCCTGCAAGTAGCCTTAATAATAATTTCAGGACAAAAAAAAAAAATCATGTAATACTGTCATTCACCACAGTACGTTGGGACAAGACTTATGAATGAGTCTCAGTTCTATGTACAGTGTACTGTCCTTTATGTACAGAGTAATATTTTATCATTAGTTTGTACTTTATAGACTGAAATATACTGGTTTTTTTATATGACATTGCCATTTATATGATTGTGAATTTTGAAATCTAACTCGTTAAGGTACTGTATCTCCAGCTAAACCATTACATTTAATGAGATTTCAATCGATGGAATACATTTTTTTTTTTTAAGATTGTATATATTTACTTTTGTATAGAAGAGCTGGGGTACAGGCCAGAGGTGCAGGGCGTGAGAGGATTCACCAGAGACAGAGTGGGGAGCAGGACAGGCGGACTGACTGAAACACACTGCTGAGGGGAGCAGCAGGCGAGTTAGGAGAGGTCTGCTGCGCCATGTGGGTCAGCTCCCTGGCTGGGGATCTAACCAGGCCAGGCTGTCTGGGTGATAGCCCTGAGACTTCATCCCTACGCCACCAGGGAGGCCCCTGTGTAGACTTGTCATTCCTCCCCCACCTGCCTCCATTTTAGGGAGAAAATAGGGGTGAAAGGAGATGAAATGAACATCCTTGAAATCTGCCAACAGCTCTGGCTGGAAAAAGGGGTACACATAAAGGAGGCAATCTGACTTAACCGTAAATGGAAATAAGAAAGCAGGTATTAACAATTGCAGTTTACTAAGCTTTTGGTCCCCAGAAACTCCTTGCAGAGTCACAGTGCTCTGACCTGTGCTCTCTGCCTTCACCATTACTGTAACTGCAGTCTTTAGTTTCTGTAATCTGTAGTTTCAAGTATCATAGAATTCTTTCTAGTTTTCCCCATTTATGTTTACTAACTTAACCAAGAGTCAGAGGTTGGCCCTAGTGTCCTCCATTTACTCATTTGTACAGTCTTCCAGTCCTCAGCCAGTAGTAGTTGTAGAGTCATTTCAGAAATCAAAAAAAAAAAAAAAAAATGTAGATTTGTCTGCAAGCCTTTTTCTCCTTAGATCAAGTCATTTAGACAAAAGTTCTTTAAAGTTACTGGGCCTACTTCTTTTTAAATCCCATTTAATTTAATTATGTTATTAATTTGAAGTAAGATGAGGTGTTTGGTTTATATTCTTAGAAGTTCTTTTCCCATGATTTGATTTGGAAAAGTTGAGAAACTAATTCCGCCGGTACCATATTTGTTTTTGAAAACACAGGAAAGCATGACCAATTCTCAAGAGAAAAGAAAATGATGGTCAACCTTGAGAGACTCCAGATGTTGAAACTAGTAGACAAAAGAATTGCTCAAAGAGGCCTCCCCTAGTGGCGCAGGCGGTTGAGTGTCTGCAGCACAGGTTTGATCCTGGCCAGCAGGCGAGATGCCCACATGGTGCGGCAGACCTCTCCTGTCTTGCCCACTGCTCCCCTCGTTAGTCTGACTGTTCTGTTCCTCACTCTGTTTCTGGCGAATCCTCTCACCCTCTCACACATCTGGCCTGTACCCCAGTTCTTGTATAAACAAATATTTAAAATAAACTTAAAAAAAATTGTTAAAAGATATTATAAGATGTAAGGGAAAATAACACATTGAAGGAAAAGATAAATCTCAGTTGAAAAACAAAAAAAAATGAGAATTTGAGAACAAAAAAAAACAGTATCTGAAGTAAATTCACTAGATTAAGAGAGTAGAAATGAGAAAGAAATTAATCAACTTTCAAGTTAGGTGAAATGTATGAATCCCTTGAAAGACCCAATCTGCCAAAACACATACATAGGCCTATTTCTAATAAGGAAATTGAACCAGTAATTAATAACCTCCCCCCCAAAATGCACTAAGCCTAGATAGTTTCACTAGTGAAGTCTACCAAATATTTAAGGGAGATGTTATTCACATTCAACACAGTATTTTCCAGAAAATGAAATGGAATATTCTAATACCAAAATCTGATAAAGTCATTACAACACAAGAAGGAAAATTGCTGACTCTTGAACTATGGGGGGCTAGGAATATCAACGCCCCCACAAGTAAAAAATCCATATGTAACTTGATTACCACAAAATTTTGGTCATCCCTTCATGTCTATAAGGGATTGGTTTCAGGATTACACACAAAAAATCTACAGATGCTCAAGTTCCTTAAGTTGGTTCTCCATATCCATGGGTTCCACACCCACAGATGCAATCAGCTAACATCCATGGTTGGGTGAATCTAAACGCAGAACCCATGGGTGTGGAGGGACTATTAATTGGAAAGTGGGCCTGCATGGTTCAAAACCATGTTGGTCGAGGGTTACCTGTACAGACCAATACTCAAGAACACAGATGTAAAAGTTCTTAAGAAGATATTAGCAGATCCAATCCAATGGTGTATGAAAAGAATTGCCACAACCATGTGTGATTTATCTCAGATACACAAACCTGGTTTAACATTTGAGTATCAAAGTAGCCCATCGCCTCAACAGGCTAAAGGAGAAAAAATATGATCCTATCAATAGATGCAGAAAATGTACTTGACAAAATGTAACACTTAAGAGTTACACTAAAGTTTAGTAAACTAGAAACAGAAGGGACTGTCCTCATCTTGATAATGAACAGCTACCGAAACACCTACAGAAACAATATATTTTTTTAAAGATTTATTTATGTAAGAACTGGGGTACAGTCAGAGGCACAGGAGGTGAAGGAATCTACCAGAGACAGAGCGGGGAGCAGAACAGGCAGACAGACCGAAGACACTAATGAGGGGAGCAGCAGGTGAGACAGGAGAGGTCTGCCGTGCCACGTGGGTTGCTCCGTGGCCATCCAGGAATCAAACCCGCGCTGCAGAGGCTGCGGACAGCTTCAGAGCACTGCGTTCAACCCGCTGCGCCACCGGGGAGGCCCCAGAAACAATACTTAATGATGGGAAAAACAGATGCTTTCTCCCACAGATCAGCGATAAGGCAAAGGTGTTGCTCACACCCTTCATCTTTAAAATTGTACTAGAAGTCCTAGCTACTGCAATAAGACAGGAGATAGGTGGTCAAAAAAGTGCCTGAATCATAAGTGAAGGAAACCTATTTATCGCTCTTAATCCCCAGATCAGAAACACTGGTGGGCTCCATCTCAGCAACTTTGTGCTAATGTTAGCACCTGTGCGCTCCATGTTGGAACCTACTTCCCAGCCTACTGGAAACAGTGATCCCTGCTAAGAGCTCTGCGCACCCCTAACCCCACATCATAGTTTGGGGCCTGGAACCTCAGCCCATCCCCACAGGTACCTAGTACTGCCTTGCACCACACCTGGTACCTGCAACCACTTAAAAAAAAAAAAGGAAAATCTTTAAACACATGGAGACCAAACAATATACTGCTGAATAGTTACTGGATTTAAGAAGAAAGTAAAACCAAAAAAGTGAGGCTAGAAGCTATCAGAATGTATGGGATGCAGCAAAAGGGGTGTAAAGAGGGGAGAGAACTGCAACACACACCCAAATTAAGAAGAAACAATAGTACATCTGATGTTAGAAGGAAATAAGAGCAGAAATAAATGAAATAGAAATGAGAATGGCCATACAAAAGATCAGTGGAACTAAGAGTTGGTTCTTGAGTAAGATGAAGATAAAACAAAGCTCTAGCAAGGAGAGAAAATATTAACAGAAATGAGGAGAAATTACCACAGATGAACATCTATATGGAAAAAACCAAAACATGAAACCAGACTCAGACTTATACCCTTCACAAAGCTCTCAAGATGTGGTTATAAACCAAAAAGAAATATGCAAAGTTCTTAAGACTTCTAGAAGGTATTATGAGAACATCTAGACAGCCTTGTTTTTGGCCATGACTTATTGGCTGTAACACCAAAAGCACGTCCTAAAGGGGAAATGTTAGACTTAAAATTAATTTTTTTCTGCTGTAGACACTTAAAAGAATGAGAGACAAGCTGCAGATTGGAGGGAAATATTTGCAAAATAAATCTCTAAGATAGTTTGCAGCCAAGATATAGAAAGCCTTTAAAAGTCAGGAAGGAAAACTTCAAAATGGGCCCCCCCCAAAAAAAAATCAGAGAAGACACGTTATCAAAGAAGAAACAGCTGGAAAATAAGCTCATGAAAAAGACATACTGTCACCAGGGAGTTGTACAATGAAACAGCAAGAAGCACTGCAGTGGGAGTGCCTGTTCACCGCTGGTGGGAAGCAAGATGGGAGTCACTTTGGAAGCTGGCCAGTTTAGACACAACATTTTCTTACCATGTAACCCAGCGAGGAGTACCTACCCAATTTGGTTGACAACTTGCCTATTCAAAAACCTGCATATGGGGGCCTTGCTGGTGGCACAAGAGGTTAAATCTCAGCACTATGAAGCTATTAATAGCCACTGCAGCACGAGTTCAATCCCCAGCCAGGTTGCTGCCCCACATGGCACGGCAGACCTCTCCTGTCTCGCCCACTGCAGTGCTTGCTGTTTCGGCGTACAACTTCCTGGTGACATGATGTGTCTTTTTCATGAGCTTATTTTCCACCTGTTTATTCTTTGATAATGTGTCTTCTCTGATCTTTTTTTTTGCCCATTTTAAAGTTTTCCTTATTGACTTTTAAAGGCCTGCTTCTGTTTCAGTCAGTCTGCCTGTTCTCTTCCCCACTCTGTCTCTGGTGAATCCTCTCACTCCCTGCAACTCTGGCCTACACCCCAGCTCTTGTATGCATAAATAAATCAGTCTTTTTTTTAAAAATCCCTGCATGTGGATGTTTACAGTAGCTTTATTCATAATCACCAAAAACTGGAGGCAGTGAAGAAGTCCTTCCATAGGTAAATGGTTACACTGGAACACCCATACAATGGATAATGAATAAAGAAATGCATCAACAAGCCACCGAAAGACCAGGTGTAATTTTAAAGATAGCGAAATGAAAGGCTCTAGTGTAAAATGCTACATATTGTATGATTCCAACCACGTGATATTCCAGAAGACAAACAGACAGACCAATGGTTTGAGAAGAGCAGAAGGGAAGGATGGGTAAGTGGTACACAAAGGCCAAGTTAACTATTCTGTATAACTGTTACACGAAATCCATGACATGCATTTGTCAGGAGCTTTAGGCTTGTGCAACAGAAGAGTGAACCCTCATATAAACTATAATAATGTATCAACATCACCAAATCAACTGTAAGCAATTGTGCAAGATGTAATATTAAAAATGGAGAGCATAGGAGAAAAAGGGTATATGGGACCTCTACTATCATTTTCTGTAAACATAAAAACTTTTTTTGTTTTGCATAGAAGAACTGGGGTACAGGCCAGAGGTGCAGGGTGGTGAGAGGATTCACCAGAGACAGAGTGGGGAGCAGAACAGGCAGATCTACTGTAATACACTGCTGAGGGGAGCAGCGGGCGAGTCAGGAAAGGTCTCCTGCCCCATGTGGGTCAGCTCCCTGGCCAAGGCTGGAACACAGGCCTTAGTGGTAACAGCACTGAGACTTAACCCCTAGCGCACAAGGAGGCCTATAAACATAAAATTTCTCTAAAACATTTATTAATTACAAATATAATAACCAAATAAGGTCACTAGGTAACTATAATAGCAGAACGGAAATGACAGAGGAAATTGGCAGCGAACGTGAAGATAGAATACTAGAAGTGATCAACTCTGAAGAACAGAAAAGCTAAAAAACAGAACCACTGAGACCCAAAGGAGAAAAATCAAGAAGTATAATTTATGTGTACTTATAGTTCCAGAATGAGGGGTAGGGAGAGTGTTTGGCTTTTCTCCAGAAATTAGCCAAAGGCTTGTAGCACCTGAGCAAATGTCTGGTCAAGGGGAACACCAAAGGCAGCTGAATTTCATTAAGAACAATCTTTGTGGCTTCATTTAGCCTAGTCTCCTCTCCCACTTCCTAGCTCTGCAGCAGCCTTGGAGACTAGGAGTAATGGAAGCAGTGAGTGAGCAACACAAAAATAGGCACATTACACTTACCAAATTAAAATTTTTTGCAAAGGACACTATCAAGAAGCCAGTAAGACAACACACAGGATGGTGGAAAACATTTTTCAAATCACACATCTGATAGGAACTTTTGTCTAGAATGCATAAAGAACCTAACATAAAACCTCTTTTGGAGGCATAAGAGCAGAACTGGCCTCCACAGACGAGTCATTGCACCAAGCTGCTGACTCCCAATGTTTTACCATCATGGTGGCCTGAGGCGCCCTGCAATTGTGTAAACCATGAACTAATCAAAAAACCTGAAAGAAAAAGCTAAGGAGCAAGAAAAAGCCCCAAAGGGGCCTCAAAAACACAAATACCTTGAAAGGAAGGGGAAAGTTAGCATGCAAACAACTAAAAAAGACCTGGAGTGCTCTCACATCAGAAAACATACACTTCAGGAGGAAAATCATGTCTCTGGAGGGCATTTTATAAATGATAAAGGGGTCAGTCCCACAGAATTTTCCATTTTACTGTAGGTCTGCAAATTTTCATAGTGCGATGTTAAGAAACCTGAGAGACACGGCAAATGTGAGAAACCAGAGATGAATCAAACAAACCATGTGATTTATGACAGATAAAATGTCAGAACAGTGGTTTTTTGGGGGAGGAGTTGGGAGTAGCCTGGAAGGGGTGGGAGTAGCCTGGACGGGGTACTGAGCTCTTGTTAATCATATATATGCTGGAGTAGCTGGAGAAGTGCCTTCAACTTACTTTGAAATGCAATAGGCACAGAATACAAAATTGGAACACTCACATGTTGAGGTTTCAAAACTTACTTCAAAGCAACAGTAGTTAATAGGGGTAGGGGCCTCCTTGGTGGCCAACGGGTTGAGAGACAACCTGTGAAGCTGGACTGTGAAGCAATCCACAGCCACTGCATCATGAGTTCAATACCTGGCCATGGAGCTACCCACATGGCGCAGCAGACCTCTCCTGACTCGCCCACTGTTCCCCTCAGCAGTGTATTTCAGTCATTCTGCCTGTCCTGCTCCCCACTCTGTCTCTAGTGAGTCCTCTCATCCCCACACCTCTGGCCTGTACTCCAGTTCTTGTATGCTTAAATAAATCTTTAAAAAAAAAAGGGGGCCTCCCCGGTGGCACAGCGGTTGAGCGCTGGGTTGCGAAGATGCCCACTTCGGTCCTTCTGCCTGCTCTGCTCCCCGCTCTGGCTCTGGTGAATTCTCTCACCCTCCCACGCTTCTGACTGTACCCAGTGCTTGTATAAGTAAATAAATAAATCTTTAAAAAAAAATCTTAAAAAAAAAAAAGGTAATAGGGGTAGACACTACAGATCAATGAAATGGATCAGAGAGTGTAGGAATAAAACCTTTGTTTATGGTCAAGTGATTTTTGATATGCACTCCAAAACCATTTAATAGGGGAAAGAAATTAGCCAAAGGCTTGTAATAGCACCTGAGGAAATGTTTGGTCAAGGGGAACACCAAAGGCAGCTGAATTTCATTAAGAACAATCTTTGTGGCTTTGTTTAGCCTAGTCCCCTCTCCCACTTCCTAGCTCTGCAGCAGCTTTAATAGGGGAAAGAATAATCTTTTCAACAGACAGTGCTGGATTAACTGGATAGTCATGTATGAAAGAATGAAACTAGATACGTCCCTCCTACTAGGAACACAATCAGCTCAAAGCTGATCAAAGATAATCATGTAAAGAGCAAAAGCTGTAAAAACTGCCAAGGAATACAGGTAAATCCTATGACCTCTGATTTGGAATGGAGTCTTAGAAAATGAACAACAAAAACAGGTATATTTATCAAAATTTTTAAAATTTATGCATAGGACACTATAAAGTGAAAAGACAACACACAGAATGGGAGAAAATGTTTACAAATCACGTATCTAATAAAGTACTTGAATCTAAGATATATAAATAACTCTTACAATTCAATAATAAGCAAAAAAAATTTTTTAATGAGTTTAGTCACCAAGAAAATGGAAATCAAAATCTCAATGGTCTACGACTTAACATTCACAAGGATGGCTTGAAAAAAATCAGGTAACAGCAAGTGTTGACAAGAATGTGAAGAAAATTAGTGGGAATGTAAAATGAAAAACCAGCAGTTGCCCAATGGTTAAAGTTAGCATATGATCCAGCCATTCTACGTCTACCTAACAGAAATATCCAAAAGAAAATGTGCAAAAACATGTATGCAAACGTTTACAGCAGTTTTATATACAACAGCCATAATGTGAAAACACAACCCAAATATCCATCAACTGATAAATTGATAAACAAGATGTGCCACTTCCATAAAATGGAATATTATTCAGTCACAAAAAGGAGTAAGTAGTGACAAAGGCTACAACGTGAATAAACCGTGACAACTGGACACTCAATCAGAAAGCCGATGATGAAAGACCACACATCTTATGATTCCATTTTTCTAAGGGGGAAGATTTACTAAAGGGTAGAGGGTTGCCTTCTGAGGTAATGAGAATGTTCTAAACTTGTGAGGACAGTTGCACAAATCTGACTAGACTAAAAACCACTGTATTTTGTACTTCAAATGGATGAATACTGTATGTGAATTACATTGCAAAAGCTGTTATAAGAAAAGCAAAGCAAGCACCATTTGAAATCATACTTAAATCTATTGCAAATACGATTGCAAACACATTCTTTAATTAAGAGTATTGAAAATAGGTCACTGGTTATCAGGGTAGTAATGGAGAATTTCATATTAAAATTTATTCATTTTTATGCTACTGCAAAACAACAGAACAAAACTATAAATTCAACAATAAAAAGCGAACCCCTGGGGCACTGCACACACTCAGTATTACTCTTCTCAAGACACTGAGGGAGAAAAAGGTCCACTCAGCAAAATAAGATCTGCAAACACAACTCACCTGGCACTCTGTGGGGGCGGGGGGGGGGGTGTCATTTTCTCCTCGTCCTGGGGAAGAGCAGAGTCTTAAGCAGACCTGGAGAAAGAAAATGTCAGGAGAGTCGAGAACGCCCTAGATGAGTTGGCAGCAGCATGAAAACTGGACCCAGGTGCCCCTTCCTCCAAGCAGCCGCGGGTGCACGAGACGAGGCGAGCGCCGCGGAGCTGGCGCCCAGCTGCCGGCCATTCCGTCTTTCTGGGTTTGGTAAACAAGCCGCGCGCAGCTGTGACCAGTAGCGCCCCAGCCCCTTCCTCCGCGCCCCCAGGCCCGCCGCCGCCGTCCCGGGCATGGTGCGAAGGGGAGGGTGGGGCTGCGAGGGTCACCAGGGTGGGCGCTGGGGCCACACACACAACCCGCTCACGTCCGGGGGTCCCTGAGGATGGAAGCGCGCGCAGCTGGCACCCGCTGGGCCGAGGACCTCGTTTCCGGGCAGCTGCAAAGCACATGCCATTCGGTGTCCCCAAACCATCGCGCACACGCGCTGAGACGCGCAAAGGCCGCACCGCCCTGCCTCAGTTTCCACGCGCTCGTAACACACGCGGCTCACCTCGCGGCAACACCACAGCATGACGCGACAACGGCCGGCTCGACAAAGTGGCCACCGCAGCATTCACCGTCTTTTCGCAGCAGCTTTCCCGTCCGCGACAGCACAGTCCCGGCCCGCGCCCCGGGGCGCCCCAGCCCCGACCCGCGGCCGCCCCGCTGTTCGATATTCTCGACTTTGTTTTGTTATTGAGGCCTTCACACCCCCAGTGCCGTCCCGCCCCACCCCAGCGCACCCCCCCCCCGCCCCGGCCCCTGCTGGGTGACGCATTTTCTATCGGGAAGTTTGTACCTTTTCATCCCCCGCACCCCTATCGGCCCCCCAACATCTGGTCCCCCCGAATCTGACTCCACTCCTTTGCAAAGCTGAAATCCTGACCGGCAGCTCCATTTATTGGTCGAATTTCTTTCTTTACCTTCGTATTTGCTTTCCAGACGGCAGCAAGCGGCGGCGAACCTTCCTCCCGAGGCCAGACGCGGCTCAGGGGCACCAGCCTCGCGCGCGGCCCCCACAGAACCTCCGACGCGCGTCACCTCCGGGCTACACGAACCCCCCGCGCCTGGTCCTTCCCCGCCCTGGAGCAGAGATGCGGGGGGGGGGACGGGGCGGGGGTCCCCGCGACCCGGGGAAGGGAGTCGGGGCGTACGCGCTCCCCGCGGCTGCCGAAAAACAACTTCCCTGAAGCCCGCGCGCGGCAACTCACGGTCCGGAGTTCGGGGCGTCTGGGGCGAGGCCCCCGGCTCCGCAGCTTCCAGGCGCGGCGGCGTCTCGGCTCCGCCTCGGGCTCCGGCGCCCACGGGGCGGCGTCCCGAGCCCCGCGCGCCCGCCGGGCCGCCCGCCGGGGGAGCCGCTTTCGGGCCGGGGCGCGGCCGCCGCCGGGGGGAGCAGGGAGCCCCGCGGGGAGGGGGTCCCGGGAGCCGCGTCTCGGCCCCGACGGGACTCGCTCCCGCCCCGCGGCCCCGCTCGACACGAGGACTCGGCGCGTCCTCCCGGCGGGAGGCCCCGGACAGACGCGCCCCGCGCCCCCAGCCCCGCGTCGGGGAAGCAGCGCCGCCCCCGACGGAGCCCGCGCGCCCCGCGGCGCCTCCTGCCCGCGCCTGCGCGCCCCGCCCCTCGCGCTCTGGCCGCCGGCGGCTCCGGCCCGACGCGCACGCGCCAGGCGAGCCGCTCCCCGCGCGAGCCCCGCGGGAGCCGCCCTCCTGCACCCCCGGCGCCGCCCCCGGCACCGCCCCCGGGAGGGAGGGGGCGCGGCAGGGGCCGAGGGCCGCGGAGTTGCGCGCGCGCCGACCCTTCCGCGCGCCCCCGTGGTGACCTGAACCTCCCTGTCCGCAGCTTCCCGCCGCGCCCTTCCCCGGACCCCGCGCTCCACACGGGCCGCGTCCGGCCAGGCCCCCGGGCCCCGCTGCTCACAGAGCCCGCCCTTCCCCGCCCGCACCCGGCGGGGCCGTCGGGAGCCTCCTCGCGCCCCGGGGGTCGCTCGTGAATGAGCCCCCGGGGGCGCCTGAGCCGGGTGATCGCTCCTCGGCGTCGCGCCGCGGGTTCCCTGGCGGGAGTGAACCCCAGGACAGGGCAGGGAGGCGGCCCCCACGTCGGAGGGCTCGGCGAGGCGCAGCTTCGCGTCCTGGAAGCTTCTCCCGGGCTCCAACCCCACCCGCTGCTCGCGGGCGCCCCGAGGCCGGCCCTGCCCTGTCCCCGACGGCGTCACCCCCCGCCCCCGCGGCCCCCCAGCCCGTCTCACGGCCCCCCCCCTCGAGGACGCCCTTTCTGCTGGGAGCCGGGGCGCCTCCCCCCGCGCAGCTCCCCCGGGGTTCACCCGCCGCGGGCCGGGTCAGGAGAGCGGCCAGACGCCGCCCGCGCCCGGGTGCGCCCCGCAGCGGCTCAGGGGTCCCGTCGAGCTTAAGCCCCTCCCGGGGCGCGTCCCCGTGACCCAGAAGGTCCGGCGTCTCGGGTACAGTGTGGGCCCCCCCGCGGGTGCCCTAATCCCGCCGTCCCCCGGCGAGAGCGGCTCCTGGGGCGCGCCTCCGGCCGTCGGGCAGCTCCGCGCGCGGCCACAGTCCGCGGGAGGCGGCGGCGGGTCGGGGCGCCCCGGGGGCTGCTTCCTGCCAGGGAAGCGCGGTCCCCCCAGCGCCCCCCCTCGTCTCCCGGCGAAGGGTGGGGACCCTGCCAGGTCCCCCAGAGTCCTCAACGCGCGGAGTCGCGCAGGACGCGCTCAGCCCCGCCGCGAGCGGGAGGCGCCCGGGAAGCGCGGGCCTGGGGAGCGGGAGGCCGCGCCGAGGCGCCCGCGCGGGCGGGGCTGAAATAAACCTCCCCGCGATCGCCGGAGACTTCACAGGGTAGTGACAGAGAAGACGGCGGCCGGGAAACGGGATCCGCTGCGTGAGAACCGCGCTCGCTGCGCCGAGGAGTTCGGCTTCTGCCTCCGGCGACAGAGCAGCGCGCGCCCGAAGGAAGCCGCGGGGCGCGTCTTTCCTCTGGGGCTTAGAGCTTCGGGTTTCCTCCTGTCTCCAGGCCAGATGTGCGCGAGGGCGAGAGGCTCCACCAGAGACAGAGCGGGGAGCAGAACAGGCAGAGGAAACACACCGCTGAGGGGAGCAGCGGGCGAGACAGGAGGGGTCTGCCCCGCCATGCGGGACCCTCGCCGGCCGGCCGGGATCGAACCCGCGCTGCAGGGGCTGCGGGCAGCTACACAGCGCGGCGCTCAACTGCTGCGCCACCAGGGAGGCCCTGTCTTCATCTTAAAAAAAAAAAAAGAGTATTTATATTTATTTGAGCACATGTTCAGGTGCGCTGCGGCAGGAGACACGCTGTCAGCCGCTCCCGAGTCAGGCAGCGGCGCGCACTGGGCGGGAGGGGGGAGGTTACGGGGAGCGGGGACTCCAGGGCTGGCACATGATGGAGCATCAGCAGGACGTGTGACCCACGGGAAGTGTCCACTGATTGTTGTTGTTTTTTTTTAAAATGGCACTCTTTAGGTAACAATTTAATTTTTTTTTTAAGATTTATTTATTTATACAAGCACTGGGTACAGTCAGAAGCGCGGGAGGGTGAGAGAATTCACCAGAGCCAGAGCGGGGAGCAGAGCAGGCAGAAGGACCGAAGGACACTGCTGAGGGGAGCAGCGGGCGGCAGGAGAGGTCTGCGCGCCATGTGGGACCCTCCTCCGGTGGCCGGGGAGCAGCCGGGGATCGAACCAGCGCTGCAGAGGCTGCGGGCAGCCTCGTAATCCAGCGCTCAACCGCTGCGCCACCGGGGAGGCCCTAAATAAATAAATCTTAAAAAAAAAAAAAAAAAAAAGCCAGCCCGAGCGGAGATCAGAACTGTTGCTGTCTCCTCCGTGACCACAAGACGGCGACAGAGCCACGACGCGCCTGCGGCCTCCCCAGGACTCAGCCCGGTCCACGTCCCAGGGGTCTGACCCTCAGAACACCTCGGCCACAAGACTCCTTGCTGTCCACTCCCCACACTGGACTCTCGGCCCCTCATCGGGCCAGGAACCTTCCCTGACGGCCCGTCCTTGCCATTCACTCCTAACACTTCCATTTATATCTCAGTGAATTTCCTTCCAATCAGCCCTGATAGGTCCCTGGCAGAAGAGGGGTTCAGTGACGGACACACGCTGACATCCATTCCTGCAGTCTGAGCAGTGGCAGCTCATGTGGGGGAGGGGGGAGACTCTGGAGGAGCAGGATCTGGTGAGCTGGAACATGATGGAGCATCAGCAGGAATGCGTGACCCGTGGGAAATGTCCACTGACTGTTTGAATGAGATGGAGCAGAGCTGTGTTGCCCGCTTGTGACTGTGCAGGGGCCTCTCTTTTTCCTTCTCCTTTTCCTAATAAACAAGATCTTTTAAAAGTATAAATAAATAAATAAATAAACAAATAAATAGATAAGATAGCGACAGATCAGAGCTGCTGCAATTCCCTCGGTATCCACGAGGCGGCGACAGAGCCACGCCGCACCTGCGGCCTCCCCAGGGCTGCTGACCCGACTGAGCCTGGTCCACGTCCCTCAGCCACAGGCCTCCCTGCCTTCCACTCCCACACTGGACTCTCAGCGCTTTGTCGGATCAGGTGTCTGTCCCTGATGGCCATTCTTTTGCAGGCAGCTGCTTCCTAAAACCTTCCGTCTACAAACTCAGTGAATGTCCGAACACCCCTCACGCTCAGGTCCCTTGGAACGTAGGATGCGTCCCAGGGGCCTGACCCTCAGCACACCTCAGGCACAGGCCTCCTTGCTGTCCACTCCCCACACTGGACTCTCGGCTCCTCATCGGCCAGGAATCTTCCCTGATGGCCCGTCCTTGCTGGCCATTTCCTCCATAAAACTTCCATTTATATCTCAATGAATTTCCTTCACTGAGTCAGGCATCTGACGACTGAGCCACAGTGACATCCATTCCTGCAATCTCAGGCAGTGACACCAGGTTGTGGGAGGAGGAGCTTCTGCAGGGCCAGGGACTCATGGGATGGACATGATGGAGAATCAGCAGGATGTGACCCACGGACAGCGTCCACTGATTGTCTTAATAGTGAGATCTCGAGCAGCTGTACTGCCCGCGTGTATGGTAACTGTGTAGGGGCCTCCGTTTTTCCGTCTCCTTTGCTAATACACCTGTGCCTTTAAAAATCTTAAACAAGCCCCGCCCCCCTCCCCGCCCCAGCAGAGATCCGAACTGCTGCAATTCCGCCCACGTCCACAAGACGGCGACAGAGCCACTAAGCACCGCAGTTTCCTCAGGGCTGCTGATCCTACTCAGCCTGGTCTACAGCTCAGTCACCAGGAGTCAGGGGTCACTCCCTCCTCTCCTTCCCGCTTTGAAAAATCAGGGTGCATGAAGGAAGCGAGACTTGAGCTATTGCATTTTTCTCTCTGATTCAAGATAAACCACAACAAACATACCCAGGCACGACCTGAGTGGGGGAGACCCACTCCCTTCCAAGAGGGGACAGGCAGCAGAGGAAAGTCATTAGGAATCCACAAACAGCCCCTACCCGGCTCCGGAGCTCGGAACCCATCGCGAGCTCAGCAGAAGCTTCCAGGAATCAGTGCTTCTCGGAAAGAACATTCTGGTGATAGCCAGCCACCTTTAACTTATTTGAAAGTTTCAAGAAATATTAAAATATATAGGAAGTAGGGCCTTCCTGGTGGTGCAATGGGTTAAGACGCAGCCTCTGAAGCTATCCGCAGCCACTGCAGCACAAGTTCGATCCCCCGCCAGGGAGCTACCCACATGGCGCAGCAGACCTCTCCTGTCTCCCTGCTGCTCCCCTCAGCAGTGTATTTCAGTAGATCCACCTGTTTTGCTCCCCACTCTGTCTCTGGTGAATCCTCTCATCCCCCCCTACACCTCTGGCTTGTACCCCGGTTTTTGCATGCATAAATAAATCTTTTAAAAATATACAGGGGGCCTCTGCAGTGGCACAGCAATTGAGTGCTGGGCTGCGAAGCTGCCCGCTGCCTCTGCAGCGCCGGTTCGATCCCCGGCCGCTGGGCGAGGGTCCCACATGGCGCAGCGGACCTCTCCTGCCGCCCACTGCTCCCCTCAGCAGTGTACTTCGTCAGTCTGCCTGTTCTGCTCTCCGCTCTGGCTCTGGTGAATTCTCTCACCCTCTCGCGCTTCTGACTGTACCCAGTGCTTTTATAAATAAATAATCTAAAAAAAAAATAAAAAATATACAGGAAGTAAAATCCCATCACTCAGGGATAACTAATAACCACCTATTCACCTTTACTTTTTTTTAAATGAGTTCACACAGAAATCCCATCCTTTGTGTCCCTCACGTTAATACATTCTGGACACTTTCCATCACTACAATTTCACTTTCTCCTATTTTCTGTTTGTATTTCCCGGGATCAAAAAAAAAAAAAAAACATAAAATAATCTGGCGACCCAAATGATTACATGTTTGGTATTAGATGAGATCAGGTGCATTCAGGGTGATTTAGACAAAGACTTGTGGTGGTTCTAGAAACAATGATACAGGGGCCTCCCTGGTGGCACAAGGGGTTAAGCACCCCACTGTGAAGCAATCAGCAGCCTCTGCTGCGCAAGTTCAATCCCTGGCCTGACAGGGAGCAACCCACATGGCACAGCAGACCTCACCTGACTAGCCCGCTGCTGCCCTCAGCAGTGTATTTCAGTCAGTCTGCCTGTTCTGTTCCCTGCTTTGTCTCTGGTGAGTCCTCTCGCCTCCTTCCCCCGCCACCGCCCCCACCCCTGCATCTCTGGCTCTTGTATGCATAAATAAATCTTTAAAAAAAAAAAAAGATACAGTGAACATTCTTTGATGTAGGGCTGAGATGATAAACTTTTACTTCTGAAGATCAAAGATTCCTCTCTGGAACTCTACCCCTAATTTTAATCCTAGATACCATACTAAATAAAGCAATCATGAGTCTTTGTCTACAGAAAAATTTTAGTTATTCATTTTTCATAGCTTTACAGCTTTAGTAAAAATAATGGTCACTGTTAATAAGTATAAAATACAAGTTAAATAAAAGAAAATAAAACCTAAAATACTACCTGACACCACCGATTCCAAAATAGCCATTATATCACAAATATCCTTTTCACATAATATCTTTACTCATGTATTTACTTTGAAGGATAATCCTTTATGTTAATTGGATCTACCAAGAGAGTTACAACTCATTTCTCCCTAAATATATATTATTTTCCTGTTACAGTGGTTCTATGTCATCCTTGGCATGGATACCTGTATCGAGTCTGAAGAAACCCCCTTCCACCTTTACCACTTCACATGGCTTAGCACTAACAGGGAGCCTCCAAAAAGGGGAAGATACTATTTCTTACCAAAGCCATCAACACACTTTTCATTTCCAAAGATACTTTCAGTGTGGATTCTCTGATGGTACATAAGACGGGAATGGTGGATAAAGTCTTTGCCACATATGTCACACTTGTGTGGTTTTTCTCCAGTGTGGATTCTCTGATGCACTTGAAGACGTGAACTCTGACTGAACCCCTTACCACATTCTTCACATTTAAATAGTTTTTCTCTAGTGTGAACACTCAGATGAACTCTAAGATTTGAGGGCAGACTGAAGGCCTTGCCACATTCTTCACACTTATGGGGTTTTTCTCCTGTGTGGACCCTCTGATGATGACGAAGATTCAAACTCCTTCCAAAGCCTTTCCCACACTCCTCACATTTGTATGGTTTTTCTCCAGTGTGGCCCCTCTGATGGTATATAAACTGTGAACTGTATCTAAATCCCTTTCCACATACCTCACATTTGTAGGGCTTCTCCCCCGTGTGGACTCTCTGATGGGACTGAAGACCAGATGACTGACTAAAGCCCTTACTGCATACACTACACTTGTATGGCTTCTCCCCAGTGTGGACTCTCTGATGTACCCGAAAATCTATGGCCTGACTAAAGCTTTTCTCACACTCCTCACATTTATAGGGCTTCTCTCCAGAGTGGACTCTCTGATGAGCATGAAGATTTGACCGCCAACTGAAACCCTTCCCACACTTATCACATTTATATGGTTTTTCTCCAGTGTGAATTACCTGGTGCAGTTTCAGATTAGAACTGTAACTGAAGGCCTTACCACACACATCACATTTGTAGGGTTTCTCTCCGGTGTGGACTCTCTGATGGGTTTGAAGCTTTGAAGACTGACTGAAGCCTTTCCCACACGTTTCACATTTGAATCGTTTCTCCCCAGTGTGGACATTCTGATGGACTTGAAGATTTGAAGCCTGACTGAAGCCTTTACCACACTCCCTACACTTGTAGGGTTTCTCTCCTGTGTGAACTCTGAAATGGATATGAAGATCTGTGTTACGGATAAAGCCTTTCCCACACGCCTCACATTTGTATGGCTTCTCTCCAGTGTGGACTCTCCGATGGCATATTAATGGTGAATTGTGACTGAAGCCCTTACCACAGACATCACATTTATAAGGTTTCTCGCCAGTGTGGACCCTCTGATGGATGTGATAATGTGCAGCCTGAGTGAAGCCCTTACCACACTCTTCACATTTATAGGGTTTCTCACCCCTGTGGACCCTCTGATGAACTCGAAGATTAACACTCCAGCCAAAGCCCTTACCACACTCTTCACATTTGTATGGTTTCTCTTCAGTGTGTACCCTCTGATGACACTGAAAATTTGAACTCTGACTAAAGGATTTACCACACTCCTCACATTTGTAAGGCTTCTCTCCAGTATGAGTTCTGAAATGAATGACAAGACCTGTGCTACTACTGAATCCCTTGCCACAAATGTCACACCTGTAGGACTTCTCTTCAGGGTGAAGAGATTGATGAGAAGGAAAAGAGATCTTATTGAGGCTACAACCAGATTCATGACATTTTGCCAGGTTCCCCACTGCGTGGATTCTCTGGTGAGTTTGCAGATGTGAGTGCTGACTGGACCATCTTTCTCCTGTGAGACCACTTGGAGGGACTGGAAGCCCTGAGGTATGACTGAAGCCTGTTGCACATTCACTACGAGGATGGAGGTTCTCGTCTAAGGGTGGGTGCTCAGTGAAGCCATCACCAATGTGTTTGCCACATTCATTACATTCCTGGAGCTTCTGTTCTGTAGCAGCTTTAATAAGTTCACTTAGGGGTGATTTCTTCATGAAGGTTTCATACATATGCAACTTATTTTTCAGGTTAATTTGCTTACCTCTACTCTGATTCTGCGACTCTCTCAAATAGCAATTTCCACATGAATCCTGGGTTGTCAAAACAGGAAAGTCTGGATATGCAATGTAAATGGAGCTAGAGTCCTTATGATTCTTTACATTGCTCTCATTTCCAGAAACCTGGAGAGAACCACCTTGTAGTAACTGGGAACTCTTCCTCTGAAGACATCTAGTAAAGTCACTTGTAACCTGATTCCAGAGTTGCCAGCAGATTGGCTCGTCCTGTGAAAGGTATTCTATGGGTCCTTTTTGAAAAGTCTCCATCTCATGCTGAATCTTGCTGCCTAATGAAAACGCAACATTTAGAAATGAGGACAGTTAATGTTTTGTCTGGGAACAAGATGGTTCCACAGTCAGCCCACGGGATAAGGCCTCAGTGAGACCCTTCATCTGAAGAGTAGTGTCTGTACAAAAACACGTACCCTTTTCTCATGCTTTCTTTCTTTCTTTTTTTTTTTAAGATTTATTTATTTATTTATTTATTTATTTATTTATTTATTTATACATTTATACAAGTACTCGGTACAGTCAGAAGCACGGGAGGGGGGGTGAGAGAATTCACCAGAGTCAGAGCGGAAAGCAGAGCAGGCAGAAGGACCGAAGTACACTGCTGAGGGGAGCAGCGGGCGGCAGGAGAGGTCTGCGCACCATTTGGGACCCTCACCCGGTGGCGGGGGATTGAACCAGCGCTGCAGAGGCTGTGGGCAGCTTCGCAACCCAGCGCTCAACCACTGTGCCACCAGGGAGGCCCTTTTCATGCTTTCTTTGCTTTAAGTAGAAGCCAAGGATGGGGTTAACAGGCTCCTATCCACTAAGTGAGAGCTATATGTACGAAATCAGTGGTTGAAGGGCAACAAAAAAGATAAGTCAGGTTCCAACCTACAGCACATCAGTTAAAATCCTACTTACTATTCTTCAGTAGGCTTTGACAAATGCAATTCCCCCCAATTAGGTTAGAGAAGCTCAAACTGAAGACATAAAATAGAATTTAGGTAGAAATTATCCTCTAAGTGTAAACTTGGGAAGCAGGGGGAATAGTAACATTCATGTTCTGTATCTGCTACAAATTCAGGTCTCCTGAAAAAAGTGGAAATTGGGAAAGTGATCTGGTACAAATGAGAATGAACTTGAGAGAAGGAAAGAAACAGAGCACAGCAGAGACTCTGAAAGGCAACCCAAGGGGGAGGAGAGAAACCTACAATGCTTTCTTATTCTCTCACTACCTTTTGGTGTCTGCTCTAATGTCACTCAGTTGGGTGAGGTCTTTTTTATTACCCAATATAAAATAACTCCTCCAGGGGCTTCCCTGGGGGCACAGGGGTTAAGTCTCAGCACTATCAAGCTATTGCCAGCCCCCAGCCAGGAAGCTGACCCCACCTGGCACAGCAGATCTCTCCTGTCTTGCCCGCTGCTCCCCTCAGCAGTGTATTTCAGTGGATCCGCCTGTTCTGCTCTCCACTCTGTCTCTGGTGAGTCCTCTCACCAACCCCCGTCCCCCGCTGGCATCCCGGCACCTCTGACCTGTACCGCAGCTCTTGTATGCATAAATAAATGAATCTTAAAAAAAAAAAAAAAAAAAAAACACAGAAGAGAGCTGATGATGTAAAAGTGAAAAGTGACAATATTCAGGACCATAATCCTGAGGTTAAATTTGCAATGAAAGTGAAGCCCAGTGAAGGCAGTGAGTACTGAGCACCTGAACACCACACATGAAGCAACACGCAGACCTAGGGAGAGGGAGGTGGACTAAAGAAGGTGGACGACAGCCCATCAATTACTGACAGAATTCAGGGCCTACTCTACCTTGTTTAGTTTTTCAAGTGTAGGGGAACATATATAAATTTAAATCCTCAAGGAATATCTATTAATTTTTAGATTGGGTAGAACAAAAATATGCAAATTAAGGAGAAAGGGTACAAGGAGAAAGAAAAGAAAGGAGGTGAAAGAGTGAAGAGAAAGTGAAGAGGTGAGCGAGAACAGGAGAACCAGCCCACCTGAGGAGATGGAGAATGAGTAAGGGCCCAAGTCAGCTAGGGAGCGGGTGGGGAACTCGGTACCCAGGCAGAGCGAGCTGGTCACAGACCATGAAACAGCAGAGAACATTCCAAGGGGCCCAGTGTGGCAGGCATGATCTGAGCAAGGGAAAGAATAAGAGATCAAAGAGGAACATGGGGAGGGGGTCACATCAGCTAATGTCCAGCCGTCCGCTGGAAGGAAGCATGAAACTTGAGGCCTGTGGAGGAAGCTGCAGGGGAATGGCATGACCCTACTTTCTAGGGCATCGCTGTGGCTACAAGTGAACAAATAACAGGAGTGCAGGTGAGGAAGCAGGGAGACCTGGGCTGTTGTCACAATCTAGGTTAAAACAAGAATATACTGGCACAAGTTTGGAGACCACAAAACAGGTGAGAGGCAGAGGAGCTAGTACCTGGAAGAACAGCTGAGGGCTTCTCACGGGAATGCCCGTTTCTCTGGTTTTCTGTTTCCAACATCCAGAGCATTTCTTCAGCTTCCAACTGTGATTCCACATCTGGTGTGAAGGGAAGATGTCCTAGGAAAAGACAGACAGATGTGTGAGATGAGCCAACAACTCAGCCTCAACTTAGTTCATTCCTATAATCCTCTGACTGAAATATTATTTTAGGAATGTTTTGAATCATGAAGTGTAACATGAAATTCATTTAAAGCATGACCTAGTCCCTGTCTCTGTATACATAAAATTAGAATTAACCAAAGTCTGTTTTCCTCTTATTTCCCACATTTTCGCATGGCTCACTACGAATGGTGGCTTTTTGCTGCAATCTGAGCAGCTACTGATAAGGAACTTTGCTCATTTCTATCTTTCTTCTATTTTATTCTATTTCACTGGAAACAGTTTATACACCAGAATCACACACTAAGTTGCTACTATTATTTTACGATTTTATTTTGGAATGGCTACATTTTTTTAAAAAAGATTTTTATTTATTTATACAAGAACTGGGGTACAGGCCAGAAGTGCAGGAGGGTGAGAGGATTTACCAGAGACAGGGCGGGTAACAGAAGAGCAGACTGACGAAATACACTGCTGAGGGGAGCAGCGGGCGAGGCAGGAGAGGTCTCCTGCGCCATGTGGGTTTCTCCCCGGACGGCCAGGATTGAACCTGCGCTGCAGAGGCTGTGGACAGCTCACAGTGCAGCGCTCAACCGTTTGCACCACCAGGGAGGCCGAGGAATGGCTACCTTTTTATTGGAGAGGCTGCCCTGGGCACTGAAGGAGGTTAAGCAGCATCCCTGCCACTAGGGCTACAGCTTCCCTAATCCTGCTGTGACAATCAAGTGCACAGACATGCCCAAATGTCCCCCGGGTCCACGATTACCAAGGGACAGAATTTTACCTAAACAGAAAGACCAAAATAACCTATGGCCTGTCATCCCAGAGATAAGGAAACCATGCGTCTTCAAGAACAAATAACCATTTCAAAAGGCTCAAAAATCAGAATGCAGAGATTCTCAAAGGGGTTGAGGGTCAGTATTAGGGGTGCCTGTCCTCACCCAGTGACACCAGGTTCTTGTAATTCTCCACCATCACATCTCGGTACAGCTTCCTCTGGGAAGGGTCCAGCAGCTCCAGCTCCTGTGTGGTGAAGACCACAGCCACGTCCTTGAAGGTCACTCCCTCCTACGACAACAATGATAGAACCTAGTTTCACAATCTCCCCTGGAAGAAAGGCAGCTGAGAGTAGGATAAAAAATATTACTAGTGGCTTCCCTGGTGGTGCAGGGGTTAAATTGAAGTCTCAGCACTATCAAACTATCGCCAGCCACTGCAGCATGAGTTTGATTCCCAGCCACATGGCTGACCCACATAGTGCAGCAGACTTCTCTATTCTTGCCCGCAGCTCCCCTCAGCAGTGTATTTCAGTAGATTTGCCTATTCTGCTCCCCACTCTGTCTCTGGTGAATCCTCTCATCCCCCCCATGCCTCTGGCCTGCACCCCAGTTCTTGTATGCATAAATAAAAAAAATCTTAAAAAAAAAAAAAAAGGTTTTCCAATTTACCTCTCATGGAGGAGAAAACAAGTGTCCCTGACTCTCTAGACTCTGGTTTAATAGGACATTTCAAAGACTTAAGTGAAATAAGTAAGTGGAGAGCTTTTCATAACATTTGTACATATTTACTTACAAACCAAATAGGCTGTTAATTATTTACAAATTATTTTTGTGACACTTCTACTTACTACTTTATTTTTTTTCTTCTTGCTCTCTCTCTTTTTTGATATTTAAAGAGCAGGATTATTAGAAAAGGAATAGGACAGTAAAAGACACTTGCATAGACACAAGCGGGCAGGAAGAGCTGCCCCGAAAGGGACAGGTTTGCTGAAAGGGGCCTGCATGGTAGCAGGCGGGTGGTCTCAAGGAGAGTGGCCTCCGCTGAGGGAGGTCAGTGAAGAGAAGCCCCAGCAGGTACAGGTCACGGGCAGGCAGGAAGGCTGCTGCCCTGCAGAGGGAGAGAGTTGGTGAAAGGAAGCACCGGCATAGTCACAGGTGGGCAGACGGAATGCTGCTTCTACTCACATTCCAAGTGTATTACTAGTCTTACTAAAAATTATAGCTTTTAAGGCTATTACTTAATCCATATCTTAAAAGCATATCTCATCATATCTGATACTGTAAATCTATAGTTATTAATGCATATGAAAAGAATTATGGAAAAGTTAAAAGTCTAGTTTACAAGCAGGTAGTAAACGATTTTTTCTAGTTAAAATACTTATCTTTTTTTTAAGATTTATTTTTTATTTATACAATAGCAGGGGTATAGGCCAGAGGTGCGGGAGGGTGAGAGGATTCACCAGAGACAGAACGGGGAACAGAACAGGCAGATGGACTGAAAGCACTGCTGAGGGGAACAGGGAGTGCGACAGGAGAGGTCTGCTGTGCCATGTGGGAATCTCTCTGGCTGGCCTGGAATCGAACCCGCACTGAGAGGCTGCGAACAGCTTAACAGCGCTGCACTCAACCCACTGCGCCACCAGGGAGGCTCCAAAATACTTATCATTTTTGCAAAGGCTGTTGTGTGAAATTATATAAATATGATGAAATAAAACAACATACACATATACCCATAGTCAGCACATGACATGCACTCACGAACTACTGTTCAACATTAGTCTTTTAAGGAAGAGAAAAGAGAAGGGCCTAACCTTTCAGAGACTAAAAGGAATGCCTCACCGACCTGAAATTGGGCCATGTTCTCCTGCTCCTTCTGGGGAAGGTCAGGGTCCCGAGACCTGCAGAAAGACAAAGTCCTGCAGAAAGACAAAGAAGACGTGAGAGGCAGGCCCCGGTGGCCAGTAGCCCAGGGCACCCGTGCAGGAATGACACAGAGTTAGGTTCTCCCAGCAGGTCGCAGCCACCTACACAGCTTGGCAGTATGGTGTGAACTAGACTCCAGCTACTCAAGCAGGGGGCAGTGGGCAGGGAACGAGCTGCAGCCCCAAAGGCAACATCCCCACTAGAAAGCTTTCTCGTGCTAGGGTTGGCAGGAAATGAGAGGCACATACAATATGTGGGTTACAATGAAAGTGGGCTCAGGAGCCAAGTGTGCAGGTTTAACCCTTTGCACTCCGAACCATTCTGGACACTGGCTACCAATGACCCCTGAGAGGGGACAGCGGAGTGCAAAGGGTTAAATCCTGGAAATAATACTTACCATCTGTGTTACAGTGGTGTGTTAAAAACCTCTCAGGCACCTATACAATGAGGACAGGATAAGAATTGTAAATCATACTCACCTGGTGTGGTTGTTCCAAGGATTAAATGAGTAGAGGGAATGTTCTAGAAACCAGGAATCCCTTTTTCTTATAGCTACAAAAAAGCAGATGACACTTTGCAGTATAAGGCTAAGGATTTATAATTTATCATTTCTAATAACAAAAAAAAAGATCTGAAAGGCATCTGGACTTCATTTATTGGTACTAGTATTAGTTTTCTGAAAATTATCACACTAGGTAAATTACTTTATAAAGTTAGAAAAAGTTTACCAGTAAAAACTTTCCATCCTGTGTGCATGGAGATAAAGAAGAATGTAACAACAACAAAAAGATAACAAAGAGAAATATGAAACATGGAAGACAGGCTGAGAGGCTCCAATATTAAAAGAAGCAAATGTAAGGAATCATTTGTAAAAATGTTGGTAATAACTTTGTTTATGTACATGTAGAAGCTCCATGTGCTTTCACAAACTTGGAGGATGGTTATAATAAAAAGCAGACGTATAACGTAGCTTATGATGAAAACATTGTGCAGAAGGCAACATCATCAGATTTCAAGAATATTTCTGGTTTCTACAGTCTTCTAAATAAGATACACAGTGATTAAAGTTAATATGTGTTGAGGGGCCTCCCTGGTGGTGCAGGGGGTAAGTGTCAGCACTCTGAAGCTATCCGCAGCCACTGTAGCACGAATTTGATCCCCTGCCGGCCAGGGACTACCCACATGGTGCAGCAGAACTCTCCTGCCTTGACCGCTGCTCCCCTCAGCAGTGTATGTCAGTCCATCTGCCTGTTCCACTCCCCGCTCTGTCTCGGTGAATCCTCTCACACCCTCGAGCCTCTGGCCTGTACCCCAGTTCTTGTATGCATAAATAAAGCTTAAAAATATATATATATGTTGGGGCCTCCCTGGTGGCACAAGGTGTTAAGCACCACACTATGAAGCAATCCAAAGCCTCTGCAGCACAAGTTCAAACCCCGGCCGGCCAGGGAGCAACCCACATGGTGCAGCAGACCTCTGCTTCTCGCCTGCTGCTCCCCTCAGCAGTGTATTTCAGTCAGTCTGCCTGTTCTGTTCCCCATTCTGTCTCTGGTGAATCCTCTCACTCCCGGCATCTATGGCCTGTACTCCAGTTCTTGTATGCGTAAATAAATAAATCTTAAAAAAAAAAATATGTGTTGAGACAGATAATCATTTCCAATAGTTGAAAAAGTAACACAGGACTGTATTATTTCCAAGTCAATTATGCTTAATTAATAGGAACTAAATTGAAATGAAGACGAGAAAGGAGAACATAGAAATATATAGCATGGCAGACTTTTTAAGATTTGGGACAATTTATTATCTAATAGCCTAAGAGAGTATTGCTGCAATTACAATGGGAGCACAGTAGTAGAAAGAGGGAGGGTCAAGAGCAAAAATAAATAAAAGAGGCAAGCACATTTTCCAAGTATAAGGCTGCCAGGTAATATTAAAATGGCATGGCAGTATACTTGCAAGTCCACTTCTACTGCAGACACAGCATACTCTTTGGAGACCAGTGTGGTACCTTTATCAAAATGATATTAAGACATTCCACCCATTTCTGCCTAATGCAAATATGTATTTCAAATAGAAAGTAAATATTTTAAGTATATATGAGCGGGGGTGTGTCTGTATACATATGGTAGAAATATACACCGATAACAAGCAAATTAAACCTCCTCAGGTTCATTTAACAAATATTTGAACATTACCTAGGAGTATTTTACTGTGTGAAGGAACTTGATAAATTGAAAAAGACATGACAGGCATGAAATTAATTTGACTGGTAAGTACCCCCCCAAAAAAAATGTACCCGTAAAAGACATCTGAAAAAAAGCAACGTTAGAAAACATCTTTATGTTATATAAAGTTAAAAAATCATGTGCCATATGACAAAATAGACTTATAAACTTAGTCTAGAGTTAAAAAATAGTGGGCTAAAACCAGAAAACAAGTAGAGTAGAGGGAACATGCTCATATTTAAAGACTACTTTCAGTCACTGTATTTTTTTTTTAAGATTATTTATTTATGCATACAAGAACTAGGGTACAGGCCAGCAGTGCAGGGAGGTGAGAAGATTCACCAGAGACAGTGGGGAACAGAACAGGCAGACTGACTGAAATACACTGCTGAGGGGAGCAGCAGGCAAGTCAAGAGAGGTCCACTGTGCCATGTGGGTATCTCCTGCCCGGGGATCGCACTCATGCTGCAGTGACTGTGGATAGTTTCATAGATTGCATCTTAACCCCTTTTGCCACCAGGGAGGCCCTAGTCAATGTATTTTCACAATGAGAGTACATGGTGATTAAATTCACTGTCTGTGGAGACAAAATTTTCTCTAATTTTTATTTCTCTATTGAGGTAACATTGGTTTACAGCACTGTATGTGGTTCAAAGCATAGGCTCACATTCCTCAGATGCAGCTCACCATACCACATCCACCAGCAAAGCACTGTCAGCCCTCCACCACAGTCCACCGTGTCCCACTCTCCAAATAATAGTTTATAATGAAACAACACAAGACCGTATAATTTCCAAAAAAACAGTTGAAGTTAAATAAAAGGAAATAAATTGACATGAAGAACGAAAGAGGACAATGGGAGGACGGGTAAATATGGTGCATTTAAAAATAAGTATCTTCCATTAATATTAATATTTTAAATGTATGTGTGTGTGTGTGTGTGTGAGAAAGAGAGAGACAGACAGACAGACAGACACCCGTATATACTGACCAATAGGAAAATATTCCCAGACTTGGTACTTTCTCCACTATGTACCTTTGGGCCACGCCATGAGAAGCCCAGAAGTCCCTCCTCCCTTCACTTACCAAATTCAGAGCAGGAGAAATTAGGACGGGGTGGGCTTGCACGATGTGTCTGTCC